AAAAAAAAAGAATATCATCTATTTTTAATCAGAATAACTTTAAGGATAAGTGTTGTTTCTTCAGGGCATATATAAATATATATAAATATATATAAATTGTACCATTGTGACCTCATTTTGGGTAAAACCTTATACACACGGCAGCCGTTTTGAGTGTCTGTGTGAGATAACAACGCAGGTCTGTGCTCCTGTCGTGTGGGGACGCATGCATTACATCACAGATTCTCCTGTGAATAGACAGAGTGACGTCGGCGTCCTGACTCAGACTAATGCAAAGGAGCACGCATTGGAGGCGGGCATAGTTGTTCTTCCTGTGACGCTCGGCTAATTTAGCTAGAAAATCCACTCCTGTTTGTTGACACGAGGCTTGTTAAATACACCTTTTACCTTTTTTTTTTTTTTCTCTCTCTCCATTATGCTGGTAGAGTTTTCAAAATGGCTGTTTTTGTAAGAGTAAGGTCAGTTTGTACAGGCGGTAAAATTAAGTTGTTTCTTTTTGTTTTGTTTTTTTTCCCACCTCCCTGCACCTCATCACAGGATGGACTTTCTCAGTGCTGTCCACACCAAGTGTTCCTTTTCCTGTTTAGGGTTCAGATTTATGTGGGAAAACACAGGTTTTAGGTGAATGTTCTCAGGTGTTTCTCGCTCTTAAACAAATATCCCACTTGACAGAGCACTGCTTTTCCACGTGTTGAAATCTGCTTTATCTTCTTTCTAACTTGGCCTTTAGTGGAGTGATTGTCTTTCAAAAAAAGAAAAGATGCATGCATGTATTTGTAGATAAAAAGCCCCCTTAATGAGATATGAAGTGATTTCCCATCTTAGGTTCGCAGGAGTCGAGCGTATACTGAATCTTTATTATTGCAGAGCTGCTGAAATGGACAATCAGGTGTCAGGAGATGCTTATCTGGGCTTCGGACGAGTGCTTTTTTCAGCTCGTATGTGACATTGTGTTGTGTTTTCTTTTTTGGCTTTGTATTATAGATTTCAGATGCTTTTTATTTTTATTTTAGCGTTTTCAGCTTTGTTTTTGATGAATTTGTGTGTCTTCTGATCCAAGTGCTTCTTATCCCGCGCCTTGAGACGAACAGGGTCTCGTTAAGGTTAGCTTGCAACCTGTCCGGGATCCTGCGATGGCTGAGAGGCGGCGTTTGCTCGTGGCCTCGCGTCTTTGTACAAACTCTGTTGGCTTTACAAAACACAGAGGAGAATCTGTGTCATTTGTGTCCGTGCTTTTTGAAGTCAGTCAATCAATTCAGCTTTTTGAACTTTAACCTGTTACCTCTCTGAACTGTTAACCGTTAAAGATTGTTCCCCACAGCCCCGACACACACGCGCACACACACACACACACACACACACACACACACACACACACACACACACAGTCACCCCACTTTACAAAGCAGCTTCATTCCTACTGACGTTGGAAGTAAATCAGGCTTTGTACGTGGGTTCTGTTCAGAGACCTTAACACAGCATGAGCTGACCAGAGAGCGCGCGGTACCTCAGTTTAATCAGTTTTTACTGTTCAAGTCAAATATCACCAGATGGCTGTCGTGGCTTTGATTCTGGACTCACTTCTCGGTGGGAAATTACCACCAGCTGCTACAGAGCAACTGGTCATTACTTTTATGTTTTTTGTAACGGACCTCACAGTCATCACAGTGGCGTTCTTGAATTTCAGTGCAATGTCCACAAAGGATTGAACTGTCCATCCTCAGGCACAGGAAAGCAAAGGCGGACTTCAGGTTTATGTAAAACCCTGCTCGAGACTTCAGAAACCATTTGATTTGCAAATCGAATAACTAAATTCGTTTCTCTCCGCAAAACGCTTAAGCGCCTTTTAGATGCGGAATACAAAACATTGCCGGCTTTATCTGTTTACCGTAAAGTTCCTCCTCCTTCTCAAAGATGAGCCCATGGCTGAGGCAGCGACAGCCACACTAACCTTGCAATAATTGCCAGACACATGCAAGAAGTGTTGCATTTGTGGCATTGATTGCCAATGTCAACTATGATGAGGTTAAACCACACTTTTGAACATTTAGAGTTGCGAGTGTGTGTCTGCGTTTGGTGCATGGTGCAACATCAAGCAGTAGCTGCTCCTGGTTCTCACACGGGGGCTCGAGGAGGCCGTTCCACACAGACGCCGTAAACCGAACACACGGTTGCTGAGACACGATGATAAAACATTCAGCTGTTTGGCGAATTCTCCAGTGAACCCATGAGCACGTGCAGGACACCTTTCTGAAAAAAGTGACTGAAATTACGTAGTCAGACATGAGGCTGATGTGTTAGGACGCCGTCAGGCTCAGAGAGTGTCTACGTGTAGAATGTGTTGCTCTTCATTAACTCAGGCGTACAGCTGATTTAAATGTTTGATAAGTGCATCTCTTAGAAACACAGTAAACACTTTGTGAATGTGAGATTCAAAGGCTCAGCTCCATGAATGTCATCTGTCTTTTTTTCATGCCCTTACAGTAATGGGTTGGTATGTTGGAGTACTGCGTAGGCCCAAAACAAAACAAAAGGGGAAAATGACAGCCCTCACGTATTCCTGCTTCCTTGTATCTGCAGTATGAGTGGATACGAGGGCTGTTTTTCTTTGTATCAGGAGTAGCAGGTGTCACAGTTGCCAGTAATGGCTGACAATCAAATAGAGACGTACTGCGGCTGGAAGCATGTTGGGGGAGGATGGCTGGAGAGAAGCTAAATTCAATCAATCCCAATCTAAAGGATCAACACTGCTTTTTCACATTTGACCCTGTGACCTTTTGGCCCCCAAGGCAGCTTTTAAAGCACCCTCCCCCCCTTCGGTGAATCCATATTTATCGTATAACTATCGACTGCTTGTGTGGGATATTTGCACATGAACAACAAAGGTACCGCCACTCGACTGTACTCGCTCTCTCTGTGGACGGCAGCATTTTCAAGGAACATGTTCTTAACATGCGCGGTAGCAACAATCATGAGACGTAAAGACAACGCCGTATACCTCCAAACACTCTCGACATCCCTTCAACCACAATCAAACCCCGTTTCTACCTCAAGGACTAAAAGCTTTGGCAGATTTCTCCTGCAGGGCCACACCTGGGAGAATCCTGCTGGAGGCTGCGCTCAGGCCAAAAAACCCCACTCAAGTGATGGTGGTGCCGGTTCATAAGGATTTTAAAAGAGATTGTAGTGACCACAGACAATCAGCTGAAAATGCAATTCTCACCTTTAACAATGACCATTTTAGAGGCAGCTCTTTGGCAAGAGCTCCCCTCAGTGGAAGGTTTTTGTTACAGCGCACAATCAGTCAAAGTTTCCTGTATGGGGGGGAAAAAAACATGGAAGGATATGAAGGCTTCAACTATTCCATTTACTTTCTTTTCCTTTCTTTACTTCCTTGTGGTGTTTCCAGAGTTTAATGTTTGTGGGGGATGTAAAAGCTTCAGAATCAGCATTCAGATCACGGAACACTAAAACCAAACTTCACAGGCTTTTAGAATCAGTAGCTCTGCAAGGCACTCAAACAGGGAAGTGGTTCAGACAGGGAAAATGCAGTCTGGCCTGTATCAGTGCAATCATGTAGGATCCTCTGGTCAGAGGTAGTTCATCTCTGATATTTTAAGGCACAGTGTAGCTAAGAAAACTGCATCAGTCTTAACTCTGTAGCCTGTAGAGTTGTGAAAAACAGATTTTTGTTCAGGCTGGAGCTTTCGTTTTTTATTGTATGGTAGGAAGTTTGACTCCTATAGCTTACAGATGTTTTCCATCATTAGATTAGACAATGCCTGCGCAACATGTTTGGCTTTTTTATTATTTTATTCATCTTTAATGGCCCTGGACTGTTTTCAGAAGCCTGCTTCGTTTGACACTGTTGTACAGACTTGAACAGCAACATAACTCATCTATTTTGCCTGTCTTGGAGTCCAATTTTGATAACAGTATGTTAATATCAGCACAAACCCTCAGAGTCTATCGCGATCGGCTCGCTCGCTCTCTGTCTCATTCGTAACTTTTAAGTGTCTGAATCTCAGCTGTTTTTGATCCCAACCAGAGCTGTAGATAAAATAACTGCTTGAAAAACATGGTTCTGAGGGTCTTGCTTGGAGCGTGACTCCTGCTCCCACCTGCTGCCGACATGGACACTTTGCTAGAACATTTACGGGTTAAGGCGCATGTGGGGCTCGAGGACTTTTGACTGGACTTCACCACTCACCTTACCTCAATCAGGGGGACTGTGGATAGGGAAGACGATGATGATGATGATGATGATGATGATGATGATGATGATGATGATGATGATGATGATAAAATAACAAGATGCCTTCTGCTGTGACAATTGTATGAATTAACATGTATTACTAAGACTCATTAAGTAGATTATTTCTGAAAATGGCTTTTAGGGCTATGGATATATAATTTTTTTTTTTATTGTTTTTTGTTTTTTTGGCTATTTCCCTGCTTCTTTTTTCCTTGTTTTAGACATGCTGTAGCAACGGAGACACAGAGATTACTTATAGAGCAGATTTTTGAATACAGTGATGATACTTATAATGGTAATGTGATTATTATAGGGAAGCGTGTGTGTGTGTGTGTGTGTGTGTGTGTGTGTGTGTGTGTGTGTGTGTGTGTG